GAGACTGTTTCTTCAGGTGCATAGACTTTCTAGGCAGCTCCACATGGAGTCAGGCTTCTCTGTGATTTATCTGTTGGACAGTGGGTGGCCAAGGGGCACTCGTAGGCAAACAGTCATCCAGCCCGATAATTAGGGAGGGAAAAGGCAAACACAAACACACCCAGGTTGACATTCAAAACAAAGTGGATATTTAACCACGGATGGCTCATTATACTGCCATAGTTCTTGTCTGCCAGTGTGTGGGGAGGAAACCAGGAGCCAACAGCAGCACTGTTAGTGATTTATCAGTAGAGCTGACCGAAAAGGCACAGTCCTTGGGTAGAAACGGGAAGGCTGCAGCTTGTTGGCTAGCTTTGTTCTTAAATGATGGAGGGATCCCTCTTAGTCTTTAGTGGGCCTTGGGGTCCTCCCGTATGAAAAGAGGGGTTCAGACAAGGTATTTTCTAATTACCCTCCATTTCTGAAAGGCCTTGACAAGACAGTCTTTTTTTTCCATTCATTCATTAATGCATATACTTAGGTATTTATTCAATTAACCATAAACTCAACTACAGACAAGGTATTGACAATCAATGACCAAAATAAAGCATGGACAGATCATCACCATGGAAGAAACAGCTCGAGGTGTTGACAGCCTCTCTCAATTCATACGAGGGCAGCGATAATAGAACTTCTATTTTCTAAGGAACACTCATATTGCTTTTCTCTCAAGGGGAAAAAAAAAATAGGATGGCTGCTGTTTGCCAGTCTCTTTCAAAGAAATCAAATGTAGTCAGCTCCTCTTTATAGGCTGCTTACTTGGCTTGGAATTTATCTGGTTTTATCCTTTCCTTCTCATCCCCACCTTTGTCCCTGCCCACTCCATCCCACCCTTTCTCCTTAGTGAGGTTTGGTCCCCTCCCATTATTTCAACTGGACTTGATTGAATTCAGACCTCATGCATGGGACCTTTTACATTTCAAGGAACCTAGATGTTGAAGGAAAGCAACTGAGAGAGACGGACATGGAGAATGAGAATAGACAAGACAAAAATGTGTTTGGGTGAAGAGGCAGTGGAGCTGGGTTAGTTTGTGTCTACAGAGCACTGGTTAAACCAGGGAGAAGCTCCACACCACCAACCACTCTGCATCTTCTCCAGGTGATCCGGAGGCTGAACTATCCTTGCCATCTTTTATATGTAAATATAAATAAACTTGATTTATATTTGATTTAATCTGAAAGTTACTGACAGCTTAATACTATGATATTTTTAATCCAAAGAATCAATGTAATGATCAAAGAGCTTTGATCACAAGTGAGATCAGCCTGTGCCAAGTGATGTTTCATTTAGCCAGTTTTTAAACCTCTCAGAGCCTTAGCAGTCTCAGCTATAAAGTGGGGACGATGCTTTTTCATGGTGCTATCGAGGACAAAATTAGGTCACAGCCCAAAATACCTTCTTCCTCATATCAATACTCTCTAGCCTTTACTAACCCCTTCCAAACTGAAGCTATGATGTGGGTAGGCCTCCAAAGCCCCCAGAGAACAGCCATTTATATGCCATCACTTCTTCTAATCAGTTTCTAGAATAGTGGTCACCTCATTCTTAGTGAGACACGTATATGGATGAATCCCCCAACCCCTTACTGCTTATTTGGCTACTAAACTTATTATCAATTTCTTTAAAACAAATTTCTTTCAATTTCATTAAACAAAAGTGAGATAAAATTGGCTCAATTCTCCCCAAAAGAAATGAACACACATCTGCGTGACTCTGGATGCCGAGTTCCTTCAATCCAGAGCCTCCTGAACACTGCAGAGACTGGAAACCTGTCCCACCATGATTCACACTTCCCCCACCCTCCGACTTCTCCTCCCTCCCCTTTCCCATTTCTCTCTGCTTATGCCCTTTCTTCCCTCTCTTTCCCCTTTGAATGTTAAAAATGTCCACTAGGTATCCAGTGTATTTCTTCCTAGCCGACCCCATTTCTACCTAAACACCCAGAACCCAAGAATCTGGAAAGAAGAACCGATTGGGGGTAGTCAGAAAGATGGAAGTCTCTCAGGGCTTTGAGTCTGCTCTGCCCCAAGGAAACCTAGTATGCGCAGATGCACTTATATAATTGTGAAGCCATATGCCCACTGGCCTAATTCTGCAGAAAAGGAACAAAGCCATAAAACTAAAACATAATCAGTCAGAATGATGATAACCGTCGATTGGACAGTTCATTGATAGTAATGTACATTAGATCCAAAGATCGGCACGTGTGCTTCCTGATTTAGGATGGCCCAGATTGACACACTTGAGAGGTTGTTAAGAATACCCATTTTGCTCTCTCCTGCAACAGAAATAATTGAGGTTCTGCAAGGAAAACAGATGCATTCCGATGGGAAAGCCCTTAGTCAGATGGCCTCTAACAAAGTTGTGCTTTGAAAGCGAACCTGTCTTAAGCTTTTGTCCACCTCCCAGACCTCCACATTTCACCAGAGATTCGGGGTGATGTCTTTTGTCTGGGGCAATAGGGAGTTTGCAATGAACCCTCTGACACTGTCCCCAGGAGAGAAAGCCTGCGGTGGCACTGTGTGGGCAACACCTCCCTTTAGCTCTCTGGTTACTTGTGTGCTCTGAGAACACACCCTGCCGAGTGCATTCATCACAATAGCCCATGTGTGACCTAAGGAAAAGTCCTTGAAAACAGTGAAACAAGACTCTCAGTTGAAATCTGGAATCCATTCCAGTCTTACACAGGAAGAAAATTAGGCATAGAAAAACAAAGCCCATCGTTCAGAGAAACCTGGAGAGGCTCTGGCTGACATTAAAATCGAGCAAGATTTTTTTTTCCCCCTCACTACTTTGGATTTCATAAAACATTTTCATCTGATCAGCCCCAAAGCTGCTAGAAAATACCATGTGGTTAGCTGATGGCAATGACCGGTTTCGCCAGTGAATAAAACAGGCAGAATAAGATCAGAAATGCTGAATGACATTTTATAATTCACTTACTTGACTCTTTTGCGCATAACTAAGTAAATGCTATTCTTCTAAACATAAGGGGGCAATACTACCATTTCCCCCTTTGGATTAATGTATTGGCAATAATAGGGGTAGTAGGGGTGGGAGTTGGAGGCAGAAAGAATAGCTGTGCTCCCTGGGCCCCAAATCCATGGTCGAGTTCATTAGCCCCGACCTCATGGGCCTGGAAATATTTATTCACTTAGAACATGAATCAGCAGAGTGGTGTGCTTGCTCAGTGAATCCAACTCAGCCAAGGTTTGTGGACTAACACTATTTTTATAAGTACAGACCAATTCTCTTTTGTTTCCAGCAACATTATTCACCATTAATTTGCCCTATTATATGATTTCTTGCATGCATGTAAATGATTCTTAATCTGTACTATTTTGGGGGGCATATTCCTTCTTTGCTAACAATTGGAGAGGCAGGGTGATAGTCAAGTGGTGGTAAAAAATCCAGTGAAAAATCAATTAGCAAAGAAATCTGTTTGGAATTGGAACTTAGAATCCATCTAAAGTTTGTCTAGAAAATCCCTCAAAAGGAAGACAGACCCTGAAGGAATAAGAAGATTCCAGAACCATCCAGATGGGGGCATACTGTCTCAGACCCAGAACCACAACACTATTCATTTGCAAATGAAGAAATTAATTTTGTTTTTTTCTTAAGTACCTTCACAGTTCATTTTTTATTTTCCTTAAAAAAAAAAAAAAAAGAAGGTAAATGGCATTACTTTGGTCTCCAAAGCAGATGCCAGTTTGAACTTTATTCTGCCAGCAAGTATTTGGTTTGGCTCTGAAAGGGTTTGAGTTGAAAAAATATTTGCCGAATCCAAAAAGATTTAACGAGCTTTGCTGAGAGGCTGGTGCCATTTGGCACGTCACAGGGGCTGTGGCACAGTAAAGAGAGCTCTCTTGACCACAGATTTTATTTGCCCAAAGTAGCCAACACTGGGAGTTCAGTTGATTTCTCGGGTCAAGAAACTGCACATCAGATGAGTGAAGTTTCTAAGCGAAAGTGACCAAAATGGGCTTCAAAAAAAACTTGCTGACATTGAAAAGGAAGTCCCTGGGGCTGGCTCCACCCCGTGTGGGAGGTGATGGCTAGCTTTCAGAGCTGTCCATAACCTCCTCACACCAACCAACACGCACAGTCTCCAGTGCAGTCAGCAGACCAGATAAACCTCAAAGTTCTAGCAAATGCCTTCCTTATACAATATCAGACACTAAAAAATCTGCTGGGCTGTATTTTACAGTCACTTGATACTTGACTAATTTTGGTGTTAGAATTTAACTAAGCAAACACTGAATGACCTATTTTAAATAACTTCTCTAAATAGTACCAGCAAGTTTACTTTGTATTGCAGAGAGAGAGGGGCATGGCTTTATCAATCTTTAGTGGAATATAGATGCATAAATCTATCACTGAGATTGGAAAGAATGACCTCAGCGCACACAAATATCACGTTAAAAGTCACTGAACCTTGTCACCTGAAGTCACGCTTTTTAGTACAGGTTGCAAGGAAATGAAGCCTCTCATCCTTTCAAATCAATACCACATCTGAAAACTATAACAAACAAACCACAAAGCATTTCCATAACAGTGTGTACTTAAGAATTAAAGGTCTGTGTTAATGACATTTGGACCAAAAAAGTTCACTGAAGCTGTAATTACCTTGAAGAAGGACTTAGAACTTTGGATTATTTCACATAATGAGTAAATCCCACCCCAACTTCTATGGATCTCCCCAAACCTCAGTTGTCCCTTTCATTAACACCAGCGCCAATGTAACACTTGGGACATGCTTATCTGATGCCAAGGGTCTGTAACAAATATCTTCAAAAGGAGCCAATCTCTAAACTCTGCCTTTCCAGAGAAAGAGCAATATGGGGGGCGGTGGAGGGGAAAGGAAGCCTTCTACCTGGCTTAACTAACATTTGGGTGTCAGAGTAAAAATCAGAAGAAAAATTCATGAAGTAATAAAAGGATGATTATAGCAGTTATTTACCATTTTGGCTTCTGAATGCATTGGCTGGACTTGGGGAGAAGCACAGGGGTTACTGAGATTTGGACCTTGCATCCCCATGATGCTGGAGTTCACTGACATTTGTCTCTCCATCTAAGAGAAAGGAAAGCAACAGAATTAGAAGTCTGAGAAAGACAGTCAAGGCATAGACAAAGATGCCACTTCCCTTTCAAGCAGATCCTTTAGCATTTCTTTGAAGAAGCCCCAGAAACCCACAGGCTTGGTACATGGTGAGCAATGCACTCCTGAGCCTTGAGCTGAACCAAGGACATCAAGGAATCACTCAAAGCTGTGCCATCTAGGAAGATTCCCCATGCAAAGAGAACTGTGATGTCATGAAAGATGATTTCCAAACAAAATCACTGAATATTTCCACTTTTGCACCCATTCCAAGTACCACTAATTATGCTAATTTTTATGGCTGTAAGAAATAATATATGCATAGAAAAATGCTAAAAGGATATATAATATACCAAGTGGTATCTCAGGATATCTTTGATATATTCCCCTATAAATTTTATATAGTAAACATGAATCTTTGGGGGAATAAGGAAAAATAAACAATCTTAAAAGCCACATTTCCCAATGCACTGGGTCTTCCTGTTGCTCCATTCCATAAATACAGTTGAAATGAGGCAGCAGGAGTGTTTAAGCCACTGCCTGGGTGTATCTTTTCCTTCTTAACTTGGTCAATGCCTCACTGAAGAACTGAGCCTTAGGTAGCTTCGGGGTTTGGATTACATATGAATGACTGCTCCCGCAGTATCCTCCTCTGGCCTTCTGTCTCTTCAGAATTAACATCATCCAAATACCTGAGCTGGGTTATGTTATTTTTGTCTTCAGGGTATGCCTATTAAGAAGTAAATGCAAGGTAAGTGTCCCTTATCCAATGTGCCTGGGACCAGAAGTGTTTCAGATTTAGGATATTTTCAGATTTTTCAAATATTTGCATATGATAATGAGATATGCTGGGATAGGACCCAAGTCCAAACATGAAACTCATTTATGTTTCATATACCCCATATATGCATAGGCTGAAGGTAATTGTATATAGTATGTTGAACACTCCCACATTTGACTACCACCATCATATGGGGGCAGATGTGGGATTTTTCAATTGTGGCATCATGTTGGCACAACCAAGTTTTAGGTTTTGAATTTTCAGATCAGGGATTGCTCAACTTCTACAGCAAAATTTTTATTTGAGTCAAGGAAGAACTGATTAATAATATTTTCTGTTTGGTAGAAAATGAACGCTTCACAGAATAAGCTAAAGCAAGTACATTTATTATTAATATCACCCAGAAAATAACTAGACTTTCTTCAGAGGGAAAACCAATTCTTCAATATAATTACCAAAGGGTGAACATAAAAACAATAGCTGAAAATTTGGGGAGCCAGGTATTCACTCTAAGTTAACCTGGGAAGTGTTGGAAAATATGGGTGTTTCTAATCAGCGGAGGTTCAAAGGATGGAGCATGGAAATCCCACCAATTAGAGGGAAGCTTGAGTGTGATCACTGAACTAAATGACTGTGCTTAGTCAAGGGGTCTTCTCTTGCCGAGATTCTGCCACTGTGATTCCTTTTGTGTCTACTCCAGGGGTTGGGTACAATTATGACATTAGTCTTTGAATTAGTAAAAGTGTTAGCGAAAAGCTCTCTCCTGACTGACAGGTGGGTGCTTAGCCTGATTTTAGCCAATAAGCTGATCAGTTATCCTGCAAGGTGTGGATACAGGAAACTTTCAAGAGGAGCTAGTAAAAGCAAATTTTCCATGTATTCCCGAGTATTTCAGTAAAACTTTTTGAGCCTTATCAATTCAGTAAAAGTAAAACATTCACTCCATGTATCTCCTAAATCTCTGGGCAGCCTAAAAGTCTAATCTTTCAATCACTTTTTAAAAAATTGTAAAATACATTTAACATAAAATGTACCATTTTAACCAGTGGTAAGTGCCATGAAGTTCATCAAGTTCAGTGCGATTAGATACATTCATGTACTCTAGTGGGTAAGTCATAAAGAAGTCAAGAGTTTAATTGCCTCCCAAAATGTATTGCTACATTAATACAAATTTGTATTACTACAAATCCTATCAGTATGTATAACCATAATGTACCAATAAAAAAAGTGGGAAAAATACATACTACTTATAATCCTCACTCTCAGAGGCTGGAAATGGGAGAGTCAGAATAGCATTTGACCCCTTCTTCCTCTTTGAGAGGGAAACCCAAGTCCAAATGAGCTTTTTCTCTTCAATTTTCCAAAGAAGGATCTTGTATAAGTACAGATGTTTGTCCAGTGTCTTCTAAACTACCAGCTGTACCAAGAGCGGAGAGCAGTCTGCTCGTGGCTTCTGAATCCAGAGTCAGCAAGCCTTCCATTTTTGGGAAAAGTTTTCATCTATGACTATTTCTACTCCATGACTCATCATATACTGGTTTCAAACTGGCTTCATTTTTCTATCTATTAAAAAATATTGCATTTTCCATCTTACTGACGATTTTCACATAGACATACAGCGTGGGCAAAGCGCCTCCTCGAAGTAAGGACAAGGCCCCATCTGCACTGTGAGCTCAACTTTAAAAAGTTGCCTGGAATTAAGAGGCCAGGAGATGGAACAAGTTTGTTCAATAATGGGTAATATTCAGCACTGCTGGTAAACATCCAGGCAGGGACTCGGGGGTGCTGCTCAGTGGCATAGTGCTTGCTTCGCATGTGCAAGGCCCTGGGTTCAATCCCCAGCACCACAATAACTCCCAAATAAAGAATTTTCCCCTCTTCACACACTGGAAAATAAAAGCTAGACTGTATATATGTCACTGAGCTTTTGTAATAGTAAATGTAAAGTTCATGTTCCCAAATTATTAATGCATTTGACTTTCAAGACAAGAAATTACACCCTCTGAAATCCTTGAAGGCAAAACCTGCCCTGGTCTTCTTAATCTCCATCATCTAGCACTGTGCTTGCATACAAAAGGTGCTTAACAGAAGTTTGTGGAATGAATAAATGATGACATCATTTTCCTTCTGACCTATGTTTTGTGAAATGTGCATCCTGGCAGCAGGCATTACAAATCAGGTATGAATCTCACCTTCACCTAAAGACACAGTCTGCAGATTTAAGCCCAGGGAATTGTGGTTTCCCAGAGCGTGATCTTTGGGAAAAGATCCAAGTTATAGCAGAGGAGCTGGTGACAGGACACTAAGGAAGAAAAGTCTGGATTTCTAGGGCCTGGAACTCTTAGGATCTACTTCTGAAAGACATTGCGTTATTTTCCATTAGTAACATTTGCTTCACATAAGACCAGGGCTTCTCAAGCTCAACACTGACATTTTGGATCAAGGAACTCTTTGTTGTGGGCAGTATCCTGTGTATTATAGGATGCTTAGCAGCATCTGTGGTGTCTACCCACTATATCAGCTTCCCCATGCCAGTCCAGTGCCGACAACTAACAGCATATCCGGTTTTTGCCAAATACCCCCTGGGGGACAGAACCACCCCCAGCCGAGAATCACTGCTCTTGGCTGACACCTACTGTCATGGCAGTTCTACACATCATGCACAAGGGTTTGAGAACTCCCGAGGGAGTGGCCTCCCTGCCTTTTAGTCCATACTGGCTCTTGACCATGAACCTGAATCTTTGCTTCTATCCTAAAGTATGAACAAGAGGTCAGGCTGTATGATGGGATAATGTGGAAACTGGTGCCAGGTATCTTTTCTCAGAGCCCTTTCAGCCCAAGTGTCCTAACTTTATCCCTAGGAATGGTCCACAGCTTAGCCAAACTGAGGTGGGGGAAAGTTGTCTGTAGTAGTATTTTTCTGAATACGGCATAGAGAATACTAATTTTGGACAAGAGGAAGTCAGAACCTAAAGGAAGACAACTTGTGATGGAAACTTCGGTACAATTGGTTTAGTTGAATAAAATCTGGGCTAACTGCACTGAGGTGCTGTTCTCCACCATCTAAAAAAAGTCTAAGGAGAGCATTGCAGGTGAAGTCAATTGGCATCACCTGTCCACCCTCTAGCTCAAGGTTACAGTGGCTGTTTCTAGCCTGGACAACCAGGCATCTGTAGTGGGCAGGCCAATAGCTCTCAACTGAATCCACAAGCCCTTCTGTATCCCCCAGCACCCTCCTACAGAAAGGAGCACACACAGTCCTTCACCAGGGCCGGTCTGACCTCTCAGGTGAGCTGAGATATGCATTCCATTTACTGCACTCCTAAACCACGTGATACTGGACAACTCTCTTCAAAACTTCTTACTCGGCTTATCATCTATGAGGCGATTATATCAGTAATTATAGATACCATATCCCCACAAGATTGCTGTGAGGATAAAATTATCTAAAAACATGGAGAATAACTTCAAATACTTTGCAAAATACTGCTAACCAGTTGTGGGAGGGTTTGGGTTGAATGTAGGGCTTTAGAGAACTCCTGCAGCCCTGTAAATAACACCACCAGTTATTTTCACCAACACACAATCTAGGGAAGAAAGAAGGAAAGGGAGGAGGTGGAAGGACAGAAAAACTGCTTTGTATTAGTCCGAATCATTCTGGTATGATTATCTATTACTTTCAGAAGGGATCATATTATGACTGAGTAGAGACTCAAGAGTCAGACTACCTGAATCCCGATTCTATCACCTATCAGCTGTGTGACGTCAGCCAAGAAACTCAGTCTCTCTGCCTCTGTTTCCTCATGTGTAAGATCAGTATAATAACAGTACCTACCTCATGGGATTGCTGTGAAAGTGAAGGGAGGAAATGTACATATCATTTAGTAGGTGAAAGAATGGGCTTTGGAGACAGAATTTCTGGGTTCAAGACTCCACAGCTCTGCTTTTCAGCTGAGCAAGTGACTTGCCTGACTTTGCTCCTTCAGAAGATGGGGACAGTAAAAGACTCATCTCAGAATGTTGTTCCTTGTGTTAACAAAGTACTTGGAAAGTGACCAACATATGGTAAGTACTCAATAAATGCTGCTAGCATGATTTATAGAACATGATATGGATAAACACATATTAGCAGCTATTATGTATGATCATTATTATCGTTATTACTATAATTATAACTCTCAGTTCTGGCTAGACCACTCACTGGCAATTTAAAGCCACTGTATACAACTCAAGTTGGGGACTCCCGAGTGCAGTCATCCATCAGTATCTGCAGAGAACTGGTTCCAGAACACCCCTTCCCTTTTGAAACTAAAATCTGCAGACACTCAAATCTTTTGTATCAGATGGCTTAGCATTTGCTCATAACCTATGAACACTCTCCTGTATAATTTAAACCATCTCTAGTTTTGAACCAGTTATCACCAGCAAGAAGATGAGAGACCCTGTCTCATAGCAAGGTGCTGAAGTCCAGGAAAGTCAGTAAGATGCCTGGGGATGGGCAATGGGGCTCCAAAGGCAAACTGGCACTTCAAAGCCCTGAACAAGTGCAATTTATGTTTAATTCCTGAAACAGGGTTGCAAGACTTTATTCAAGCTCAGCCCTCCCCTCTGAAGCAGCTGCTTTCTTGACAGACAGCTTAGAGGTCAGTTTTCCCTTTCCTCTTTTAAGAGTGGCAAGCCACAGGCTGGGGGATGTCATGAGTAGAAAAGTAGTGATAGAGTGCATGCCTAGCAAGCATGAGGCCCTCAGTTCAACCCCTAGTACCATTAAAAAATAAAAAAAGCTAAAAGAGTGGCAAGCCATAGTTGGAGTGAGGTGCTCCAAAGAGACACCCAGAAACTCTTACTGGCATCAAGACGGCAGAAGATCCCGGCATTGTAGGGTTGGGCAGGGTCCCAGGCATGGAGGCTGGCATGGGCTGTCTCTGTCTGTTGTGGAGATGTAGCAGAGAAGATAGAGAGCCTGGGACAGGCCTGAAACAAAGAAAACAAACAAACATTATTTCCAATGCTTTGAGCCTGTCTCACCAGAGTCCAGGAGCAGTGGGGACACCATCCGTCCGACGTGCAGCCGATCAGACCCACTGATGGGACAGCCACATAATTGTGGATATTAGGGAAATAATAACAAATAAAATACAAGTCTGATTTCCTTTGCTGCTTCCTAGATAACACATCAAATTCTACTTCATTTCCTGATCCCTGTTATCTAACTGATGTTCAATAAAAACAAGCCAGTAAATCTCCCATAGCCATTACTTCTAAGGAAAGGGATTTTGTGGTGGAATCCTGGGTCTGAGCCTTTGAAGGGTCTCAGGGCTGGAGATCTGGCTCCATGTGTTCAACACACACTCTCCCACACCCCTGCCTGGAAGCTCACCTGGCTTTGCTCTGGATACACTTTCATTCTCTGAATTTGCTGGATAAACTCCATTTGTGAATTCCTGACAGAAATCGACTTTGACTTTTTCATAGTTCTCCACAATGAGTGGAAAGAAACAAAGTCAGGACACAGACCAAAGCAGCCCGCCCATGGGTCACAGCACTGTGGCCAGCCTTTCCCCAGTGAGCTTTCCATCACCAAGCTCTCATTTCCTAATAACTCGAGGTGTTAGGCTGTTTGACAGAAAACTGATTTGGGCCTGACCTGCAGAACTTGGGTAAGCATTCCTTCGGGGAGTACACAGTTTGAGCTGTTGTTTCAATTTGAAAAAAAAAAAAAAAACCCAGAAAACTTTAAGAGCCTTACATTGATTTAATGAGCCAGGGAATGTAGAGCTGAGGGAAAAAGGGAATTATTTGTGTTTATTAAAAATGGCAAACAACTGACCTCCCTGGCTAAATTTTGAATCTCCTGATGGGTTTGCTCTGGGGAGCAATATAAATGTCAAGCCATTAAATTAAAGACTTAACAACAAACAAAACAAATAAACCAAAAGCTCTCGGGCCCTCTGAGTCTTCCATGTTAAACCACTGTATTCTGAATGTTGGGCTAGAAACTTGTACTTTCAGAATTAGTGCATGTTCTAAAGAAAAAAGAAGACCCCCTCATGCAAAGAACTGGGTAAGGCTACAGCCGCATGCTCCAGGCAGGCCCAGGCCTGGCCTCCATTAGGGGAAGCACAATCTCTGCTAGAGTTCCCTTGGAGTAGGGAGAGGAGGCCCTTCTTTGGCATCTCTGGGTGACTCACAGGGAAGTGGGAGACTGAGCTGGGGAAAGAGAATGCCAACACGTTCTTTCTTCACATTGCTGTTAAAATTCCAAAGATTAAGTTTTCCACTCTTTTTGCCCAAGAGCTCTTTTGGAAATGTAGCTAACCATCATGGTCACACACATCCTAGAAGGATTAGTCATAATTAGTCAAGATTTATATGCTCAGGAAGGTGAATATATGGAACTAGAAAAGAATAGAAAGCCCTTTCACAGAAGTTATGTTTATGTACACAAATCACAATCTGTTTTATTAGTAGGATGTATGTATGCGGACATACCTAGAAAGGCTGATGTAAGGAGGTGGGAACAATGAAATGAGCATTTTTTCAGAAATGCAAATGAGGTACTAAGGGTATTTCCTGATGTATGCCCTTGGGGCATCTGGAGTACACACTGACAGTAAGGTGTGTACTCCAGGTGAAGGTCCTCAAGCTTTCCTAGTTTGGGGAAACTGCTGGTTCCAATGCTCCAAAATACCACAGAAGGTTGTGACTTCACCAGGTTCGTAAAGTATATTTCATTCAGAGGTGAATAGCTCGAGTCAGATAGGTATGGAATGTGGCCCTGTCAACAAAGCTTGCTTTATTTTCTCCAGTCTGAATGTTTTGTTTGGGAATGCGATTAAAAAGAAAACTGTTGTATGTCACAGCATATAATGTTCAGTAATAGTTCCTCCAAACCCAGGATTAATTATCTGGACTCCCCAGTTTCATAATAAGCAAGATCCATTGAGGGGACCCCTCATCACCCATCTACCCATTCATTAGTATCTACCCAATCTGCAGAGATGGATATACATGCATCTACATATGCATACACACACACACACATACGCGCGCGCACGCGCAGACACACACACACACACACACACACATGCACGAACATGCACGCACACACATATACTGCCTGTGACCATATATCTGTCACTAGAGGAAAGCTTCAAGGGCCAACAGGAACAAACACACACTGTTATAGAAAAGACAATGAAAAACATTTCTTTGTATTACTTGGATTCACGATACCATGATCGTGAGCATCATTCACGTTCAGTTTCTAACCTGACATATTAAAAACAACTCTGGTCATCAGTTTTTATTGATGTGTTCTTTCTGAAAAAGAAATCAATTAAACAACTCAATAGTGATGTGAAAGGGAATGCAAAAGTAATTAAATTTAAAATGAGTTTTCATTTTACCCAAATGATGGAAACTATCATATGGAATAGTTGGGGAATGGTGTGTTTAATTTAATTCAATGCTCTGATTAGGTTAGTTATTTCCATGCAATGCACAGATCTACTAGATTTTAAAATATCAAGTATTTTCTCACTAATTAAGAAAGACTTTCAGGGTATTGGGCTCTCTTGGGATTATAATAACAGCTTCCAAATGGTACCAGTCAGACTGATTAGCAACATATACTTGGGTGGGAAAATGGTTATTTGAGATCCCTATACGTTTGAATTCTGAATAATTCTGAGGTTCACACAGACTTTATAAATTATTTCCCAACTCCCACTTATCATACTGATAGAGTTCTCTAGGCTTCTTGCTTAGGCTTTTACACCATAAAAACTGAAAAGAGTAAACTGCCTATCCATCCTTAAGTATATCAAGGAGCAGGGCTGAGGTATTGCTCAATGGTAGAGAATTGTCTAGCATGCACAAGTGTGTTTGATTCCCAGCACCAGTAAATAAAGAAATAAAATAAAATACAGGACCAGACTGAAGAATTTTCTATGTAACTAGGCCCATAGAAGCAAACATTTGTCTAGAATACTTGAATTGTTGAAGCAAGAGTGGTATTGGAATAATTGCATTAATTGTCTAACTCCATTTATGTGTTCTAAAAAATGAATTATTGTTATTTAATATAGTATATGGGCAGAAAACTTTTTATATTGCTCTTGAACAACATTTCATATTTTTCAAAGGATTATCACAGCCCTAATTTCACATGACTTGAAACAATGCCACGTGGTAGATAGGTAGCATTATTCCCACTTTACTTGGGAGCAAACTGAATCCAGGTACGTTCAAATTTGCCCAAGGTCACACAGGTCATGAAAAGGAGCAGGGCTTATACTCAGCTTGCAATACAGAGCTTCCCCCAGTACACCTTGCTAGCTCCCACAACTAAGTTATTATTGATTTTTTTAATGCTAAAATAAACTCATGGTCCATTTCCTTTGATATTCACACTGCTCCCTGGACTTTGCATGAAGTAGTAAAACACTGGGGAAACTGCTAACATGCTAACACGAGAACTCTCTTATCCATGCGAAATTCTATTTTCTTCCTTCAACAAAAACAACAAAATAAAAAAAAGCAAACAAAGACCTCCCCAAACAACACATTAGATTCTGCAAGTAAGATGACAAAATAGCAATAAAGTTGTGAAAACAAAGACCCAACAGTCTTTCCTCCAGTGCAGGCTTGTTGCCATGAGCTAATAATTCCAGACTTTGAGCAAGCCGAGCCTCCTTTTTAATAACCATATGCCTCTAGGTAAAGTATTTCTACTAAAAATTATTGAGGCATGGAACAAGGTAAGATGTGTGAGCTCATGTTGGATTGTTCAATTACTAAACTGAGTCCTGCAGCATTAAGAGTTTTCCAACTTGACAGATTATTCCTCTTTATACACTTGTATAAACATACTGCTTACGGCTGAAATCTATGTAAGCTTTTCTTTCAATTAAAATGTCAAGGATGACAGACTGTGTTTTCACTGTCCTTAGTAGAATGATAGGTACCTCAGCAAACGATTTCATGTCCTCATTTTTCCCCCCCAAAAAGAATGTTTTCCAGTCTGGGGGTGTCTGAAAATCCAGGACTGTGTCTGCCAGTCTTCCTTGTCCCCCCGGGGCAAGCCTCGCTCTCTCTAAGGAGCCAAGGGCCAGAGTGTGGGTTTGCAAGGCCTGAGAGGGTCTCTGTGGAGTGCTCTCTTTCTCTGATCTTTGAAAGCCCTATGGTCCTTTTCAAGCCCTATGGTCCTGGATTGCCTATTCAACTGTCAGGACAGACAGATCAGCCAGCGATGTGCTCAGGCAAAGGAAGAGGACAGTGATGAAGAATATTATCTTGGAAAACTGGAACATCAGTGTTAGCATGGAAAGGCCATAGACATCAAAGAAACCTTAAGACAATAGAGAAATAATAATGTCAGGACTCGATGGGAAGCAAAATTTTAAAAACTTCAGAGCAAGCATATGGAAAGAAGGTTGGGGCAGGCAGTAGGAGATTCAGAGGTCATATTGGAAGAGACTTTTCTGAATTTTGGAGTTCTCCATTTCACCTGTCCAATGAATAGGCAGGCTGTAGGCGATCTCAAAGTCCTTTGGAGTTCTATTCCGTTCTCAGGTTTGACATGAAAGCTAGAGGCTTTTAATTGAGTCAGACTCTAAGCTCCATTAAGACATTTATTCGCCCCTCACTGCTGCGTGCCCAGGGCTTAACCCAGCATCTGGAAGGTAGGCGGCAGTCAGTGTCTACGTTCAGTGATATTAAATATTAAATGACAAAATAGCAATAAAGAATCTAGTTCTTAATACCAGGACTACATCTGGAACATGACTAGACCCCAAACAGAGGGTGTTCCGAGAAAGGGCCTTACAGTCTATGGGGTCCACACTTATTTCTCTTGTAAATGTAATATCATTTCACACACAGACTAGAAAAAGGGTATTGATTGCTCACTCTGCTTGCATTTGCTTATGAAAAGAAATATGTGCTTCTTTTTTTAAAAAGTATTTTTAGTT